TCCGAGCAGGGCTGGGTGGGCACGAGGATTTGACTGTGTGCCAGGCTTGCCCATGCGTGTGAGAGGCTGTGTCTGCCACACAGAGAGTCATTCATATGAAGTATCCTCCTAAAGGATATTCTCGGCCAGGCGCGGTGACTTACACCTGTAATCCCAACACTTTGGGAGGCTGAGGCGGGTGGATCACGAGGTCAGGAGTTCAAGACTAGCCTGGCCAAGATGGTGAAACCCCTGTCTCTACTAAAATACAAGAATTAGCTGGGCGTGGTGGCAGGCGCCTGTAATCCCAGCTTCTCAAGAGAGTGAGGCAGAGAAAGTTGCTTGAACCTGGGAAGTGGAGGTTGCAGTGAGCTGAGATCACACCACTGCACTCCAGCCTGGGCCAAGAAGCAAGACTCCATCTCAAAAAAAGAAAAGAAAAGAAAAGAAAGGATATCCTCTACCAGCCCTGTGAGGCTGGGTTTTATAGCCCCACTTTTCAGATGGGAACCCTGGGGCTCATCTTGACAAGAACAGTAGACCTGGGATATATTTGGAGATAGACTGGACCAGATGTAGATGGGTGAGGGCAATGGGAAGAATCAAGGATGACTTTTGAGTCTCCTCCAGATGGAAGAGCAGGGAGTTACAGGAGCTGACGTAGGCTGACTGCCTTTTGATGATCCCAGGTGGTCCTGTTTGTGTAGGTGTATATATAATCCATAGAGTGGATGACGTGGTACAGATTGCATGCAGTATGCCACATGCAATGATTAGGTATGGAGGCTCTAGAGCCTGACCACCAGGGTCAAATGTAGCCATGTGATTTTGGACCACTTCTCTAATTTCCCCATCTCGAACTTGGAGATGGCAATCGTAAGTTTTCCAGTCTTCTCTAACCCTCACTACGTGCCAGACGCCATTCTACACGCTTAGAGACATCATGCCATACAATCATTAAATCATGGTCCTCATGGTTCTATGTGGCTGCTAGAGCTCCAGCCATCAAAACAAATTTTTATTTAAGGATTCAGCCTCTCCCCAACCCTGTGATACAGACACTGCTCCTGTGATACAGACACTGCTATCATCCCCATTTTATGAATGAGGAAACTGAGGAAAAGGAGGGTGGAGTCACTTGGTCATATGGGGAAGGAGGGCTTGTGATTGATACTCAGATTTGAAACAGGTATGCTCAAGACAGAAGCGCCAGGACTCAGAGCCAGATGTTCTAAATCAGAGTCGGAGCTCCTGATGATATGCAGCTCCTCTAGGGAAGACTTTACAACACCCACCCATGCCTCTTTATGGCCCACTTGATATAACCCAGGCTCCTTGGCCTGTTTGGAACGTTTCACTCCATTCGTACTCCCCTGGTGGGTTATAAAGCCACCCCACCACCATGGCTTACTTGGTATATCCCACAGTCACCCTTTCCCTGAGTCATTTGATTTGGCCCATAGAAATTCTTTGGATGGCTCCTCCAACATCCTGGCCTCTCATTTGTGCACCCCAGTCTGACCACATGCTCCTGATCATCCTGCCATCTTGAGACCACACTCCTGCTCTGTGGCCAAGGAGAGACCACTAAGTCCTCATTTGGAACCCACTTCTTGGCATGAGTGCCTTCTCTTTCCAAGTGTATATCCAACCATCATTGTTTCAGCCACTCTCTTGCCAATATCCTTAGTTCCCTCCCTTTTTGTATGGCTTCGCATCACAGAGGAAGCTTTCCCCTGTCCCTGCAATGGCTTAAGCCAATAGGAAGTTTACCTCTCCTATACAAAGTAAGTCTTGAGGTAGGCACTTAAGGTTAGTATGGTACCTCCATTTCTTGGGGACCCAAGCTCCTTCAAGACTTAATATCCCAGGGAATCGCCCTTGTCCTCATGGTCCTGTGTGGCTGCTAGAGCTCCAGCCATCAAAACAAACTTTCAGGCAACAGGATGCAAATTTTCAGGCAGCAGAAGGATGAGGGAATCAATAAGATGGCACCACCTTCTCTTTTTTTTGTTGTTGGTTTTGTTTTTTAGAGACAGGGCCTTGCCCCGTTGCCCAGGCTGGAGTGCAGTGGTGCATTCAGAGCTCACTGTAGCCTCGAACTCCTGGGCTCAACCATCCTCCCACCTCAGCTTCCCGCTAGCTAAGACTACACGCACATGCCATCGCACTTGGCTAATTTATAAAAATTTGCTTAGAGATGGCGTCTTCATATGTTGCCCAGGCTGGTCTCAAACTCCTGCCCTCAAGTGATCCTTTCACCCCAGCCTCCCGAGTAGCTGGGATTCCAAGTGCAGTACCACCTCCCTTTGAAGGCCACTTCCTGTGACTCACTTATAACACATCCACTTACACCTATGGGTACAGTTTGGTCACATGACCACAACTTCAAGGAAGGCTGGAAGATGAAGCCTTTTGTCTGTGTTCTGTAGACATAGATACACAGATATTTAGAGGCAATGGACAATCCCTGTGTATTGGTTTGCTAGGACCACTGTAACAAAGTACCATAGACTGGGTATCTTGAACAACAGAAGTTTCTGCCTTCCAGAAGTCTGAGGTCAAGGTTTTGGTGTCAGCAGGGTTGGTTTCTTCTCAGGCCTCTCTCTCTTTGGCTTGTAGATGCTTTCTTCATATGTCCCTGTGTGCATGTCTGTGTCCTAATTTCCTCTTCTCGTAAGGACACCAATCATACTGCATTACGGCCCACCCTAATGACCTCATTTTAACTTAATCACCTCTTTAAGAACCAAATACAGTCACATTCTGAGGTACTGGGAGCTAAGACTTCAACAAACGAATTTGGGGGTAGGGGCACAATTTAGCCCATAAAATCCTGCCACAATCCTAATTTCCCCAAACCACCATAAGATCAAGCCAGCTGTCCACTTTTTTTAATTCCACTGGAAAAAGCCACAAACCGTTACAGTTTGGAGGCCATTACAGTGGTCAAAACACAAGGTCAGACACAGTGGCTCACACCTGCAACCCCAGCACTTCGGGAGGCCCAGGTGGGGAGATCACGACGTCAGGAATTCGAGACCAGCCTGGCCAACATCGTGAAACCCCATCTCTACTAAAAATACAAAAATTAGCCAGGCATTGTGCTGGGTGCCTGTAATCCTAGCTACTGGGGAGGCTGAGGCAGGAGAATCACTTGAACCTGGGAGGTGGAAGTTGCAGTGGGCCAAGATCATGGCACCTGTACTCCAGCCTGGGCAACAGAGCGAGACTCTCAAAACAAAAACACCTACAAAGACAAAGAACATACAAGGGTAAACGACGTATTCTATAAATATTATGGAAATGAATATAGGCTGGAGACTACAGAGAATTGGCCGACGTTTGCCCCATTTCGAGGGAGTGGCTGCTACTAATCTCCAGCTAATTGCTGCCTTATGGAAATGTGATCTCTGTGTTACAGCTCTTCCAACTTTTTTAAAAAGAGATGCCAAACATTTATGTGACATTCCAAATTTTATATGTTGGTGACTGGTTCAATTTCTTTTAAACACTTTCCAGGCCAAATATCACACATCCCAGGGATGGATTTGGGCCATAGGCCACCAGGTGGGGTCTCCAGTTCCAGTTGGATCCTAGAATTCATTCTACAAATACTTAATGAGCTCTCCTAAGATTCAGCGCCCTCTCCAGGATTCAGAGGACACTGCGCTAAGGAAGAATGTGTTTACTTATGAGACAGACATAAATGATCATCATCTATATATAAATATATGTAATTGCAGACAGACGAGAGCTAGGAATGAAATGATTGCGATGAGAGACAAAAACAAAGAACTTGATTAGATTTGTGGTGATGGAAGGATGATTATGAGACAGAAAAATGTGCTAAAAGCAGAAGCCAGCATGTGCAAAGGCCCTGAGGTACTATGGAATGTGGTGGTTTTCATATTAAAGGAAATGAGGCTTGGCTCAATAGCTCATGTCTGTAATCCCAGCACTTTGGGAGGCCGAGGTGGGCGGATCACTTGAGGTCAGGAGTTTGAGACCAGCCTGGCCAACATGGTGAAACGCTGTCTCTTCTAAAAATACAAAAATTAGCTGGGCATGGTGGTGCGCACCTGTTGTCCCAGCTACTTGGGAGGCTGAAGCAGGAGAATCACTTGAATGCAGGAGGCAGAGATGGCAGTGAGCAGAGATTGCACCACTGCACTTCCAGCCTGGGTAACAGGGTGAGACACTGTCTCGAAAAATTAAAATAAAATAAAAAAGGAAATGAAAGGTGGGCACTAGTTTTGGGACAGGGAGGGAGGGGAACTAGGCCAAACCATGTAGGACCTAATAGGCCTTTGTGACGAATTTGATCCTTATCCACCCCTTCTCCCCTCAACAAGCTACATGCAGGTGATATCCAGGGCCGCCATCCTGGAGAGATTCAGGAAGCAGAAGAAAGACAACTTAGGGACTTGTTAGCCTTCAAGTACACAAGGTGGGAGGAAATGAGAGGAAGGAGCAGAGGATATGGTAATAAGAGAGACATAGGGGTGGAGAGGAGCTGGGGAAGGGCAGACACCATGACAGCACATCCTGTGAGCTAGCGCCAGCCTAGCCCTAGCGATGCTAGATCAGAATGCTGGACCAAGGACCAAGCCCTAGGGGAAGGATTTTACTACATAGGCCGCCCTCCCCTTTACTCTCCAGGATCCTTTGAGGTTGCCTTCCCTGATGCGGCGGAGAAAATGAAGACGGTCATTACACAGCTTAAAGAAGGTAAAACAGACTCCTTATCTCCTCCCCCAGACAAACACAGAATTGGAAAACCCCACTCCTGGCTGGGCATGGTGCCTCACTCCCGTAATCCCAGCACTTTGGGAGGCTGATGTGCACGGATGACTTGAGGTCAGGAGTTCGAGACCAGACTGACCAACATGGTGATACCCTTCTTCTAAAAATACAAGAATTAGTCTGGCGTGGTAGCACATGCCTGTCATCCCATCTACTCAGGAGGCTGAGGCAGGAAAATCACTTGAACGCTGGAGGTGAGGTTGCTGTGAGCGGAGATCTTGCCACTGCACTCTAGCCTGGGTGACAGAGCAAGACTCTGTCTCAAAACAAAACAAAACAAAACCCACTTCTGAGATCCTGATCCACTCTCCTGGCCCCATCTCTGAGCCTCAGGCCTTGGGGATCGACTCCCGTGTGGACCACTGTGGATTTGGCCTCACCCCTTCGATGGAAGGTTTCCCTTCCAGCTAGGAGCAGCCATGGGATGTGTCTCTGTGAAAGGTTTCCTCTCCTACTGATCCCGTTTCCGGGACTACTTCTAGCCCACCTTCTCAGTGGAATACAACTGGACTGCCCACCCCCGTCAGGCCCTCCAGAAGGCCAGTGTCTCCCCCTAACCCCTAAGTATACGGCTGGCAGCGGGCCTGGCCCTGACCCCTCCTAGTGCAAAGCTCAGGCCTGGCCCCGCCCCCAGGTGGAACCCGGCCGCTTGACCCCGCCCTCAGGTTATGACTGCAGCCCCCCTCAGAGCAAAGCGTCCAGCCATGTAACAACCGACAGGGAAGCATGGAGTGAGGGGTTCTTCCCACGACCTTTAAGTGGTGATGTTTCCTTTCTCTCTACAGCCCAGGCCTGCATCCCTCCCTGCGGTAAGAAGTTCATCTAAATGTTGGAATTGTCGGTAAAGGAGGTGGTCGGGGCCGAAACCTAGGACATCAGGTGGGGGAAATCGGGTGGACTTCAAATCCTTAGGAGACCAACAAGAGCCCCGGAGAAAAGGAAGTAAACCAGGTATTGCTCTAAATCCTCATAGGAGGGTGTGAGAGCCAAAGCAAACCAATAGGAATCCTAGATGGCAGACGGGAGTGAGAGGCAGCTAAGGACTGCAGGTTCGGCGGGTTTAAGATGCTACCTGGCCAGTGGACCCCCGGGAGCTGTATGGATCTCAAAAGGGCCAAAGGGCCCTGGGCAGGTGGCACCCAGACCCAGCGTTCCCATTCCACAGGTCTCCAGGAGTTTGCCCGGCGTTTCCTCTGCAAAGGGTGCTACTCCAGGGTCTGTGACCTCCCGCTGGACTGCCCAGGTGAGGGGCAGGGCTTTGGGGTGTAGGGGACCAACCTGAGAAACCGGACCAGAGCACCACGGCGAGGCCAGGAGTGGGCGGGGCCCAGCGAGTGATCCATGCTCTGTCTTCAGTTCAGGATGTGACAGTGACTCGGGGCGATCAGGCTATGTTTTCTTGCATCGTGAACTTCAAGCTGCCAAAGGAGGAGATCACCTATTCCTGGAAGTTTGCAAGAGGAGGTGTGAGTCGGGGCGAAGGTGGCGCAAAGGGTTTAGACGGGCGAGTTAGGCTTCACTATGGGTTGGGGAGTCAGCATGCGGGGGTGAGACTCTGGGGAGCTGCGTCTAGACACAGGCAGCAGCAAGAGGAGGGCCCCGGGATTTAGGGGAGAGCTCGAAGATCAGAATGCAGGACCAAGGACCTGGCGCGGTGGCTGGCTCCTGCAGTCCCAGCGCTTTGCGAGGCCAAGGCAGGAGGATTGCTTGAGCCCCGGAGTTCGAGACCAGCCTGGGCAACATACTAAGACCCCACCTCTACTAAAAAATTTTAAAAACAGCCAGGCGTGGTGGTACACGCCTATAGTCCCAGCCACTGGGGAGGCTGAGTGGGAGAATTGCTGAAGTCCAGGAATTCGAGGCTGCAGTGAGCTGTAATCGTGCCACTGCACTGCAGCCTGGGAGCCAGAACGAGACCTTGTCTGGAAATAAATAAATAAATGCAGGTTCTAGGGGCAGGTTGTGCGTAAGGGTTTAGGTAGCGTGGGGAAAGTGCGTTTAGGGCTGGGGAGCAAGTAGAAGGCTCGGGGCGGGGTCAAGGGTTAAGGCTCAGGGCCGGGACTCGAGGGGGCGTGGTCTGGCTCGGGGATGGGGCTTGTAGGTTACCCTTTGGCAAGCCGAAGTTGAGAAGCTTAAGCCCGCGGGTCCCGCAGCTCCGGACTCAGGACCTGTCCTATTTCCGAGATGTGCCGCGGGCCGAAGGATACCTGGCGCGGATCCGGCCGGCGCAGCTCACGCACCGCGGGACGTTCTCGTGCGAGATCAAGCAAGACCAGCGCCCCCTGGCTCGGCTCTACTTCTTTCTTAACGGTGGGGCGGGGCGCGGCGGCGGGAGCGAGCGGGGCGGGGCGAGGGGCGGGGCTCGTGCCCGTCTGACGTGCGCGCCCCCGCAGTGACGGGTCCGCCCCCGCGCGCGGAGACAGAGCTGCAGGCCTCGTTCCGGGAAGTGCTGCGCTGGGCCCCGCGGGATGCCGAGCTGATCGAGCCCTGGAGGCCCAGCCTGGGCGAGCTGCTGGCCACGCCCGAGGCTCTGACGCCGAGCAACCTGTTCCTGCTTGCAGCCCTCGGGGCCCTGGCATCAGTGTGTGCCACCTTGTTGGTGTGGTGAGTGCTCAGGACCCCGGAGTCCCAGCCTCTAGCTCCCCGTTTTCTCAGACCCCACCGAGAGGTCTGGGTTCCCAGCAACCTACAGCCCAGGAGGTCGGGCTCTCAGCCCCTCCTCCCTTACATCCAAGAGTCCAGGCCCCCAGCCACTCCTCCCGCAGACCCAGGAGTCCCCCAGTCCCCTCCTCCTGCAAATCCAAGAATCCAGGCCCTCAGGCCCCCCTCCTCCCTGAGATCCAGAAGCCCAGGCCCCAGGCCCCCCTCCTTCAGAGCCAGGAGTTCAGGTTACCAGCCCCTCCTCCCTCAGACCCAGGAGTCCAGGTCCCTAGTCCTACCTCAGGCAGACCCAGAAATCCATGCCCCCCAGTCCCCTCCTCCCTCAGATCCAAGAGTCCAGGCCCCCAGATCCCTCCTCCCTCAGACCCAGGAGTGCAGGCCCCCAAGCCCCCTCCTCCCTCAGACCCAGAAGCCCAGGCCTCAGCCCCTCCTCCCTCAGACCCAAGAGTCCAGGCCCCCAGCCCCTCCTCCCTCAGACCCAGGAGTCCAGGTTCTGTCCACCTTTTCCACCCAGGTGTCCAGGCTTCCAGGACCTGGATTTTAGCCACCAGCCCTTCCTGTTACACACGTACTTCTTTGTCTCCCCAGGATGTTCTTTGAATGGTACTGCAGTGGCAGCTAACAAAGGTGTCTCTTTCCTCCTTCCCTATCCTATTTCCATCCTGAAAATAAAGAATATGTTTCAACTCTGGATTGTTTGGTCTCTGAAGGTGGTCACTACTAACTCAGGAGGTGCAGCAAGCCCACACATGCCCAGATGAATACGGCCCCCATAATGACAGTGATAGCCATAGGTATCACAGGGCAGGTTTCTGCACTGAGGGTTTAGGTGGGAACCCAGAAAACCCCTCAAATTACTGGCTGTCTCCTTGACACTTCCACCTGCAGAAGGCACCCCTAAATAGAGTACTTGATGTTGTCCTCAGAGGCTCTTTCTCCCCAAGGCTTTCTTCCTACCAGAAAGAGCACCACCATCCACCTAGCAGTTCAAACCAGAAACCTAGGAATCTGATTTCTCCTCCACTTCAAACTCATTTTCATTTCCAACTCTGAAGACTTTTTAACTTCTACATATCTCCTGAAGCTGCCTTCTCTGTGGTCCCAGTCACCCCCACCTCTTGTCTGGATCACGGACCAGCCTCCCTGCCTCTCCTTGGCCTCTCCCTACTATAGCCCATTCTCTACATACCAGCAGGACTTGTTTTATTTTATTTTATTTTATTTTTTTTGGAGACAGGATCTCACTCCAAGGCCCAGGCTGGAGCGCAGTGGCGCGATGTCAGCTCACTGCAACCTCTGCCTCCCTGGTTCATGTGATTTCTCCTGCCTCAGCCTCCCAAGTAGCTAGGATTACAGGTCTGCGCCGCCATGCCTGTATTTTTAGTAAAGATGGGGTTTCACCATGTTGGCCAGGCTGGTCTCGAACTTCTGACCTCAAGTGATCACCTGCCTCGGCCTCCCAAAATGCTGAGATTACCGGCGTGAACCACCCACACCTGGTCGAATTGCACACTTTGAATGGGTGAACTCTGTGGGAGAGAAATTGGAGACAAATATGGACAAGTGTCCCAAAGAAATTTGCTATTAACAGAAAGAAATGGAACGGTAGTTTATGGGGAAGCTGAGGTCAAGAGAGGGGGGTCTTAAAAATGGGAGAGTAGCAATATGTTTGGATGCTGATGGAAAAGGGTCAAGGGGAAAGGAGAACTGATGATTAGGTAGCAAGAACTGCTGGAGTGAAGTCTTTGAGCAGACAAAGAGGTCATAGGGTCTGTTGCCCTAACAGAAGAGGTTGGCATTGGCTTGGAGCACAGACAAGTCACCCTCCACAATAGGAAGAAGGTGGAGTGTATGGGCATAGGGCAAGTGAGTGGGAAGACCTGGAGATGGGGACTCCAACAAAAGTTTTCTTTTTTAATCCCTATTTTCTCAGTGAGACAGGAAGCCAGCTAAGGGGCTAGGGGAGGAGGTGCTGGAGGTTTGAGGAGAAAAGGGATGAGTTAGCCTTCTGAGCAGGTGGACTAGAGAGAAAAGCACCATCTGCAGTGCCTGACAGTGTCGGCAGGCAGGTGACAGGTGCTTCGTAAGTACCAGTGAATGAGCTGAGTGATGTAACCCTCACACCAACCCTGCCCCATGGGATTAATAATCCCTGTTCTCAAAAGAGGGTACCCCAGGTTCCAAGGAAGGAGAGCGTCTTGTCCAGGTTCAGATGGCTAGCACCCAACACCGAGCCCAGCGCTCCCAACTGTCAATCATCCAATCCCCTTAGTTCTCAAAAAAGGAGGCGGCTCGGAGAAAATAAATAAAATTCTTTATTACATCCTAATCACACCGTAGAAATGGAGATTAAGAACGAGGAGAAAGCAGGGCTCTTTCCCCTCCACTCCTCAAATCCCACATCCTGATCAATAAATACCCCTCCCTAGAGACCCAGAAGTCCCAGTCCCAATATAGTCCAGACTGAAGAATCTTGGGCTGACCCCCTCGTTTTGCAGAGGAGGGAAACTGAGGCCCAGAGAACCACCCAGCAAGTTCGTGGCTCGGGGGCCCTGCAGGTCTCCTCTGGCCTCCCCTGCAGACCCTGGAGACGGCATCCGCGTGGCTGGCCTCACACCTGGACGCGGTAGCCCCCGGCCCGCCGCCGGCAAAGCCTCCGCACGCCCACCCAGTACAGCGTCAACATGACCACCCAGTAGCCAACGTAGGCGCCGGCCCCCGCGGCCAGGTGGTAGGCCTCGGCTGCGCGGGAAGGGCCGCTCCAGTCGGCCCTGGCCTCCTGGGCCACGCTGCGGATCAGGCCCCCAAGCAGCAGCAGCGCCCAGAGCGCCAGGGGCAGCAGAGGGACGTAGTTAGCGGCCAGCTTCCTCCGGCCCGAGGTGCCCCAGCCACTCTGGTTCATGGTGACCAGCGCCAGGAACTTGGCGGGCAGGAGGCCACACATGTAGAGGGGTGCGTAGAGCGACAGCAGCACCATGCGCAGGCAGCCCCGCAGCCAGGCCGCGAAGGCCGCCTTGGCCAGCGCCACGCCCTGCACGCACAGCAGCACCCACAGCAGCGCCCACGGGCGGCCCGCGTAGAACAGTCGCAGCACGGTGGTCGCCACAAAGAAGGGGAACAGGCCTGAGACCACCGCCTCGTAGGTCATCCACGCGTGATGCCGGTGCCACCAGAGCGCATTGTACAGCCACTCGCGGAAGTACGACTTGGACCAGCGCGTCTGCTGGCTCAGCCAGCGCAGGAAGGACGAGGGCGTCTCTGAGTAGCAGCGGGACCTGGAGGTGTACCTGCCCCAGGACGAGGAATGAGGGCATCATTGCGTGCTCCCTGGAGCCTGGGCAGGATTCTGGGGGCAGAAATGGCCACCGTGGTTGGCCACTGGGGGCGAGTTTCTTAACCTCTCTAGGCCTCAGTGTTCTCATGTGTAGACTAGGGTCCATACTGGTTCCTAGGCCTGGACATGGTTCCTCACTCCTGTAGTCCCAGCACTTTGGGAGGCTGAGGCATAAGGAGTTCAAGACCAGCCTGGGCAACATAGCAAGACCCTATGTCTACTAAATAAACAAATAAATATGTAAGCACCAATGGGCGGGGTACAACGGCTCAGGCCTGTAATCCCAACACTTTGGGAGGCTGAGGTGGGGAAATCGCTTGAAGCTAAGAGTTCAAGATCAGCCTAGACAACATAGTGAGACCCTATCTCTAAAAAAAATAAAAATAAACAGCCAGGCATTTTTGGTTTTGTTTTTTCTTTTTAGAGATGGGGTCTCACATCACAGGTGATATGTGCCTGTAGTCCCAGCTATTTGGGAGGCCAAGATGGGAGGATCACTTGGGCCCAGGAGTTTGAGGTTGCTGTGAGCTGTGATTGTGCCCCTGCACTCCAGCCTGAGCCTGGGCAATGCTGCAAGACTCTATCTCAAAAAAAAAAAAAAAAAAGGTTCTTATCTGACAAGGATATTGTGAGGATTGAATGAAGATTAAATGACAAGTGCTTAGGACCAGTAGATAGTATTTGCTCAATAACTGTTAGCTACTACTGTTTTTACTATGACTAATACCATTACTATTGCTGTTTCTAATATCACATTGGTTACTGACACTATTACTAACACTGTCACTAACACATGACTAATACCACCATGCTTACTATTACTGGCAGGCCCTACAGTGAGGAGCAAGATGGGCGTGGTTGCTACTCTGGGTAGTCCATGTATTAGAACTTCTCAAGGGAGCCATCAGGCCTCCTTCCCGTGTTGTGGCAGACATCATTAATCAATCTCTGCGCAGTTTCCAGCCAAGCCCACACAAGACTAGAATCCCTGGCATTACTTGACAGTGTTCAGTCTCCTTCCTATGGATGGATGCTATGTCACTTGGCATCCTCAATGGCCTGCCTGCTTCCGACCTTGCCTCCTGCAGTCCGTACTGAAAACAGCTGCTAGAGGAATCCCATTACAACATATCACTTCTCTGCTTAAAACCCTCCCATGGCTCCCTCATCTTAGAGTCCTGAAGCCTATAAGCCTTTCGTGAGTGGGTCCCTCATTAACTCTCCACCCTCCTCTCCTAATACTCCCCCAGCTCAGTGCTCCCCATCCTACCTCAGGCATTCCACCTAACACTTCACTCCCCACCCCCGGCATTATTTATCTCCATAACACATATCATTAACACACCGTACGTTCTACTTATTAATTGTTGTGTGTCTCCCAAACTCATGTAATCAATTGGTGTCCTGTCTGTCTATTGCCGTCTCCCTGCAGCTTAAATATTCTAGGCACCTAATGAATATTTATTTGTCCAGTGAATGGACGCATGGATTCCCTTGGAATATCTCAAGTTCTCTCTGGGTCTTTCAGTGGGCCTGGCTTTGCAGAAATCACTCTCCCCTGAACTTCACTTGGTCTAGCTCATACTCCCCTGAGTCTCATGGAATCATTGAATTACCTGTCTTCTCTTGAAGAACTTACTAGAGTTCCGGTGCTCCTCTCCTCTCACTTGATTCTTTTCTTTTTTTTTTTTTTTTTT